AAGTAAATAGGTAAGTAAGTAAGTATGTAGGTAAGTAAATAGATAAGTACAAAAGTAGGTAAGTAAGTAAATAGGCAAGTAGGTAAGTAAATAGATAAGTTGTTTAGTGAAAAAGTAGGTAAGTAAACTTTATTTCTGTAGCACTTTTCACAGACACAAACATCACAAAGTGCTTAACAGAGAACAAAATAAAACAATAAAAACAGGTCATAAATATAATGAACAATTTAAAAAGCAGTAAACAAAGCTTAACTAAATGCCTGTCTAAATAAAAAATGTCTTAAGACGATTCTTAAGAGTCAGTGGAATCTGAGTAGCAAAGGGGCAGAGTGAGAGTGTTTCAAAGCCTCGGGGCCACCACCTGAAAAGTTCAGTCTCCACGTGTTTTGTAATGGATTCCAGGTACCTCCAACAGCATTTGAATTGAAGACCACAAAGTCCTGGATGGACAGAGAGGCTTCAGAAGGTCCAATATGTATTTGCATGACCATGACTTGCTCTACAGGTTAAAACCAACAGTTTAAAATTACCAGGGACCAGAAATTTATTACGTTTTACCTGACTGTGGCTCAGTTCTGATGATCAGATGATGAAGACTAAATAGGATGATGGATCTGTATAACTGTTCAAAGAGCCATGAATAACCATCTGCTGAAGAAAGTTTCACCTCTTTAATTCTGTTCAGTGTTGATGGAACATCATCTGGATCCATTAAACTGTTCAGCTCTGAGACAGAGTGGTAGAAATGTAATAAAGAGTACATGTTGAAAGTTCAGGTGACTGTAGTTAGTTTTTTGCTGCTCTTATGTCTGTAGGATTTGTGTTTGTAACAGTCTTGATATTTGAGCTGGATCTGTCTGATATGTAGGCTAGACCAGCTGTAAAGATGACTGAAGACGACGATGACAATGAAAAGGAAAACGAGGAAGAGGAGAAGGATCTGTCAGTGCCTGGATCCTCCTATGTTAAATTGATGGCTCTAACCTCCACCTCAGTTCTACCAGGTCCATCAAACTTAATATGACCCTAAAATATGAGATTGATAGTTTTATGGTGTGTTGGGTTTCTTGTGGTAAAAGAAACTTCAGCAGACAATCAGATTTTGAGTCATTCAGATGGAGATTGTTGAAGAATTATTATAAATTTAAACAACATTTTTGTTTTCAGCGTTTRAGCTTTTCCTGACGTCACTGGTCAAACAGGAAATGAGTCAGATGCCTCGAGGAGTGTACTTCTCTGCACTGAGGGGGGGTGGTCTACGTTCGGACCAAGGGAAGACAGTTGCAGGRATCCCATCCTTTATGCTTAAAACCTACGAGAAAAACAAGCAGCCTGGACTAAAACCTGGACTCGCTGGTCAGTAAACTCCTGTTTTTCCTGTGCTCTGTGGTAAACTTGATTAACATGTTACTGTTGTCCTGTTCATCTGACTGTTTTTAGTATTATTTCAAATGTTTTGTTTTCTTTAGTTTTCTCTCTATCATGTTGCATAACCTAATGGACAATCAAAAAATACAAGGGTTGGGCAATGAAAATGAAACACCTGTCATGTTAGTGTGGGAGGTTTCATGGCCAAATTGGACCAGCCTGGTGGCCAATCTTCATTAAATGCACATTGCACCAGTAAGAGCAGTGTGTGAAGGTGCAATTAGCAGGGTAAGAGCACAGATTGGCTCAAAATATTGCAATGCACACAACATTATGGGTGACATACCAGAGTTCAAAAGAGGACAAATTGTTGGTGCACGTCTTGCTGGBDCATCTRTGACCAAGACAGCAAGTMTTTGTGATGTAYCAAGAGCCACAGTATCCAGGGTAATGTCAGCATACCACCAAGWAGGACCAACCACATCCAACAGGATTAAYTGTGGACACAAGAGGAAACTGTCTGAAAGGGATGTTATGGTCTAAAACCAGCTGTTTCAGTTTCATTGTCTAACCCCTGTATATCAGCTTAATGAAGCTTCATGGAGAGAAAAGTGGGGCTGGTTATGTAGATGGGAGCTCAGCTGATGAGCCGTGTTTGGTGGAACAAAGCTCTGCTGGATGCTGATAGGCTGTCACATTATGACATCACTAAAAAGCAGCCTCTGGCACCTTCTCTTTTAGTCTCTGTGGCAGATCACAGAGCTGTTAAATTCAGAGGTAAAACCTCTTTGAACAGTTTGGTTGTTGATAGTTTGGATGAAGCTATGACCTTGGATTATTCAGAGAGCTCAACAGGACAAAAACAGTCCAAACATTAATCAGGTTCTAGTGAAAAGATGAGATGAGATGAGATGAGATGAGATGAGATGAGATGAGATGAGATAGACCTTTATTGTCATTGTACAGAGCATAATGAAATTACAGTTCAGAACACCCATTCTGAAGAAGACAGAATATAGAGAACAGGTGCTCTGGGTCATGCAGACACTGTAATCATTTAACGTATTTATTCTCATTAATCTGTATGAGTTTAATGTGAAGAGGTCTGAATACTCCCCTTTTCATCAGCTGTTGTCTGTTTCAGCTGGTCTGCTGCTCTGCTATGAGCTTCCTGTGCAGACGGACCGCAGTGGACGGCCCATCGAGCGTTTCCTCGTCAGCCGAAGTCGCAGCTACCAGCAGACCCTGACAGCCCTCATTCATGAAGTATTAACTCCTACACTCGTCTGATGGAGCTGTGATATGAAGAAAGTCTTTCACTCTGCTTGTTTTGTTGTGCAGGTTAACATTCAGCCGTCTGAGTGGCATCGGGCTCTGCTCCTGCCCCACTCATGGAGGAGTTTCATGAACCGAGCCTTCCACGCCGTCCTGCAGGTGTGGCGCTAACACCGGACCATTGCTACTTTAGCTTTTGGCTACTGTTCTGCTACCATGTCTTTTTAAGTGAAGTTTTGTGTAAAATATCTTACCTGCTGTAAAGAACTCTTTGAACGAGTAAAGTTTGAAAAGAGTAAAGTTTAATTCTGACAGGCTGATGAGATAAAGACAGGAACATGTCTAACACATCATTTTTATTTCTGCCACTTTAAAATAACACCATCTTGGTGATTTCATTGTTAAAGTTAATGCAAAGACTGTTTTTTAATTCACATTACACATCCAAAAATATTCAAAAACCAAAACAACTGGACTTTTATTCTGAAGGTCCGGTCAAGATTTTTATTCATTTAATCCTTTATTCTTCTTGATTTCTGTACGACCAGGATCACAATTCTTTACATMCTAGCAGAAAGTTAGAAAACGCTTCAAGAAGTGACCACAGCTGCTACTGCTGCTTTTTGTGYTCATACATAGCCACAATATTCCATGTAAATTAATGATGACCTGCTTTGAAATTCTTGAGATTGGAGGTAGCAGCTAACCTCTTAGCCATTAGCTTGTCAGTTCTGTCAGGGTTCAACTCAAATATCTTCGCAGCATGTGAGATATTAGAGATACCTTAAGGTCGAAAGATACCTTTTAGTGAATTCTCCAAAGTTCAGTAAACTGGTTTGTGCTCAGGGTCGACGTTCTGAGTTGGAAATGCAGCAGAAGCAGGGCAAAGAGGACCCAGAGGAGCTGCAGTACAAGCAGCACTGTGCCTGGTTGTGGTGAGAAACCCCCTCRTTTTTACCTGGTGCCCTCGTCCAAAAGGGGTAGGGGGATGACACACTGGACAGGTGTCCAGTTAAAGGGCCAATATTATGTGTTTCTCAGGCATACATTTAAATACTATACCATAATAAAGTATCTATGTCACCTTTAGCTGTTATTAAAATGCTGTTTTTATGTTTAAATAGAAAATAAACTTATCTTCTCATCACTTCCTCTTCTAAACGCCTTGAAATTGGCCTCTGTCTCTTTAACCGTCGGTCGGGAGGGGGTGGTGTCATCGCGCACGCCCGGGGGTGGGCTGTTTCGCGCGTGCGCTATGATACAGTTTACTTAGCATCTGAAAATACATTTCCTCAAAGG